TGTTGGTTCTGTTTGGGGAAATAGCCAAGTGATATGCACAGACAAGACTTATGTTGTTGCTTGGTCTGAGCTGGGTTCTGAGCTCATACCCTTCATCCACTTTACCAAGTAGTTAAACAAAAGCTGGCTCAAGCCAGCTGGGTTCCAACACTGGACTTGGAGAATTGCCCGAACTAGCACCAGCAGCTCTGATGGCTGTAAGGCTCTAGAAGCCTGTGTCATACGTTACCATTTCTCCACCTGCAAGGAAGAATGGGAGGTTCTTGCTCAGAATGGGATAAAAAATGCAAAATGAGGTAGAAGCTACTAAATGAAACATCTCGATACACATTTTTTTTCATGTTCACATTGTAGAGAAATGAGGAGGAAAGGAGAGGAAATAGGTAGCGGGGAAGTTGATACTACAAAGAGGTAGCAGAGGAGCTGAAAGGACTTTGCCAGCTGCTGGGACAGGTCCAGCCATTTTAAGTGGTACTGGACAGTGGTCTGGGGCTCACACTAGGAGGCAGACTCATGCTCAGAGCAGGCTGTAGAAAGGTTTTTTGGCCAGGTACTCTCCAGCCATTAGATCTCAAAGCAGCATATAAAAAATTAAGGAGAAACTGAGGCATCTACTAGTGCAAAGCCTAATATCTGCAATCAGTGTCAACATGTTTCATGAGCTGATGGGGATTAGGGAAGGCCACCTGAGGATTAGGTGTGCAGGTATTATATCTAGTGGGTATTATACTTGAAATTTTACAAAGTAGCAATAAACAAAAGGCTTCACATTGCAGGAAGGATACCAGCAAAGGGATATAAACCATAGAACCAAAGTATAAACAGGTAAGAATTGACTCATGTCTTCATCCTGTAGATCCGGAGCTCTTAACCGGGGAAGGATGGGTAAGCTTGCCAGGTCCCCAAGCTTCTTGCACTCCTGTGCAAAGTGACCAGAGTGTGTTAAGTTTTCAATGATTCCATAGCCATCACTACCCGCAAGGTTGAAAGCACCAATATCTCCTAAATGGACTGTGCATCAATTGGTCACTTGGTATGTGTGCAGTTTTCAAATCGAGGGTTTTTTTTTAGAACTGGCATATACACAGCTAGCTCTTGTGATTTCATTTCATCTCTCTGTTTAATCACCCATACCTGGAAAAGGTAAAACTGGTCAACAAGCTTCTCTGCTCCTCACTGGTAGCAGCTCCTAGGACCACAGAGCACTGTGCCAAAGCACCTTCAGTGGTGGATAGACTTTATCACTGACACACAGTATACCAGCTAGATACATACATAATAACAAAAGTCTAAGGACTTCTTGAGGCTTGATAGCTAATTGTTGAGACTATCAAATTCAATGATGTTCAAGCTGTAAATAGCTAACAGAAACCACAGTTTGGGATAGACTCCACCCTACACACATACACATTCCCTGTAGAATCTGCAGAAAACACTCTGTTCCACAAAGGTCAGTGTAACCTCAGTCCGACATCCACCCCTGGAGGTGAACCCTTCCAGGAAGTGCAGCTAACTAACCCTGGATGGGCAAGCAGGCTATCCCCCGAAGTTTGCAGCTTGGTGGGCAGACTAGGGAAAACAGTGTAGGGACAGTGTCTCTCCTGGAACCATCCCCATATTGAAGCCAAGGCTTGACTTTTCTGAAGCACAGAAGTCTTGCTTCCAGGATGATATTATACAGGACAACTTGTGAAACAAGGAATTGTCCTCCTGGCCCTTGGGGTACAGATGGAAGGGGAGTATGGATGAGGAGGTCCAGGTACTTCTCTGCCACTGGCTGAGTCTCTGAGCTCTGCTCCCCACTACCCCTCTTCAGGTGGTAACAAGGCATGTGTCAACTATCTCCCAGGGCTGTTTTCCCCCTTCTACAGACATAAGAATCCACACAGTTTCCCTACCTTTCACCCTGGAGAGTGGTGAGGACCCTTGGAAGGAGTCTGCCCGTCTTTAGATTAAGCTTCAGGGCTGAAGGTTACAGGCAGGGGACAGAGGAGGGTTGGCCAGGACAGGACAGGGGAAGGAAGGTAGCTGGTGTGCATCTGTCAGGAAACCTGTTCCTCCTCTGTACTCCTGCTTCACATCCTTTTCCCTCAGATCACGCTTCACCCACCCTCTATAGGGCATCTCTCATGTCACGTCTAAGTGTTGGGGAAGCTCCCTAGAGCAAGACCCCAGCTTTTCCTTCTACAATTCCTCCTACAATCCCAGAACACTGACTGTGAAGTCATCATCCCGAATCCTCCATGTTCTACTTACAAAACAGTCCCGAGGACTGTAAGGTTCAGGACTAAGGACAAAAGGCTCCGTGGCAAATTTGGGGTTGCATTCCCATCCTCCTTTCATTATAAATGTCATTATGCCTACTCCCCCAAAATATCAGATCACCCACCCCAACTCTTGGGTCTGCCTTCTGGTCAGATGGTCTTGTTTTTCTCATGTCAGAGAAAAAAAAAAACACATTTGGGCATTATGACCATCTCTGTCCAAGATCATCTCTGTTCTTTCTTGCAAAAGAATGAGTTTGCAATGAGGACTTTCAGAAACATGCCAGTCAAGAGATTTTCTCAGAGTAGAACAGGACTGTCATTCACTGTCCCCATCCTTTCCCTGAAGGAGCCCCACTTTGCCTGGTCTCCCAGTGAGGGCTTGTGTGGCAGGCAGATTCCAGAAGAGAAACACCAAAGCTATTTCCAGTCTTGAGGTTCAGTTGGCCAGAACCAGAGAGGTACAGATCAACAAAGAAGAGGTGTTTTTTTTGGTTGTTTTTTTGGTTTTTTTTTTTAAACTGTGCTTTATTTAGGGCTAAGCTGGAGAAAGCGTCATCCAATAGTTACAGAAGGTTACAAGGAGTTTTAGGGAGTTGGGTGTGAAAAGAGCAGTTGTACTGAACTGCAGCTGTTTGGAATTTTTTTTTTGTACAACATCTGGACATCCTAAAAGGAGGAGTCAAGAAAAGAAATTCTTTTTAAAAAGTAAAGAAAAACGATCAGAAAAAAAAAAAAGGAAAAAGCAAGAGGCCTGAGAGGAACTGGAAATTTGTTCTAAAGGAAACAAACAAACAAAAAACAAAAGAACATGGTAAGTCCAAGAGCCCCTCCCCCCCAGGCCTCCTGATGAACAAGACATCAATAAGAAGTTATCAAGGCAGAGGTGCCAACACAAGTCTTCCCAAATAAATTATAATAAATATGTTATACTTTAAAATATATGTGTTCTTAAATAACTCAGTGTTTTTTTTTCTGATTCTGAGATTTTTTAAGCAATGTCTTTAACTGCTCTAAAGTCATTTACCAAAGATAAATATCGTGCTTTCATTAAATAGTTCCTTGTTTTTTTTTCTCTATCATTACAATTAAAAGTCCTACAAAATATGCAAATTTATTTACAGAAAAACAGAGCCGGCATCATTTAAACATCCCTGTTTTTCAAAATTCCTTGTAAACAGTTTCAGAAATTCTTCAAAGATTGTTTATGTTTCTCTCTCTTTTTTTTTCTGTGTGCGTGCGTGTGCGTGTGTGTGTGTGTGTGTGTGTGTGTTCTAGTTGTTTAAAGATGAAAGTTCCCAGTTCTCCCTGGCCCGGAAAGTCTCTGGAACAAGCATGAAGGCGAGTGAAGCGGGAGGTGTCCAGGGCTTGCAGAGAGCGAGCCAGCGCGCACGCGCGGCTCCCAGAGCGAAGCGAGAGGCGCGGACCGACGACGGCTGGTGGAGGCGGTGGGCGCGTCCTGGCGGCGGGCGCGCGTCCTGGCCGGTCACCGCGGTGGGCCATCGGAAGCCCGCAGGTCGGGTCTGGGAGAGGAGTCCGGCCTGGCCCTCGGAGACGACGGCGTCCGACAGCACTCGCGGGGAGAAGGGATTGATGCTCAGTCTAAACTCTACAAAAGTACAGTCCTACAACATCTGGGATTTTAGCAGTAACGCTAACGTCTATAGTTTTTTTTTTCCTTTTTTAATTTTTTTTTTTGCTCTCCTCTAATTTTTTTCTTCTATTATATAGGTATTTTTAAACTTTTCCTTTTTTTAAAATTCTGTACAACTATTATGATTTTTAAGAGGGGGGGAAGAGTTAGAAGCATTTACAGACGTTTCACAACAATTACCTTGTCTCGGAAGTCCCTTTGTTCCCCTCCTTGTTTTCTCGCACTTCATGGTTAACGAGTTTTAATGTTTGTTTGTTTGTTTTTCTGTTGTTGTTGTTGTGGTTGCTTTCCCCCAAATATCCACCAATCTGTTCGTCTCAACAGCTCCATCCAGACATATAATACAGAAAACCATAGGAAAGTGTCATAGACTTCAATGAGGGTAATCAAAGCGCCTCTCAAAGTATCAAAGAACTATTATCTTGCTGTTTTAAAAGCATTGAAGCATTATTTTTTCATTTTTTTGTATTTTTTTGTATTTTTTTAAATTTTTATTACATTTTTTTTTTCATAGAATCGCTCTAAGCTGTTTCAAGAACAGCAGGAGGCAGGAAGGAGGTAGTTCTCCATTCCCCTCTATTTGACATAGAGCTACACATCTGCAATAAAAAGTTTGGTCCTTTGGTCCCTAAATAGCTAAAGGAATGACAGATAGAGATGCTCAGTGCGGCCTCCCAGCCGCCCCCTGGGGACCAGGCCCCAGCTACGCGCCTGGCCCCGCCCGCCTCAGGGGCCCATGGGCTGGAAATGCCCCAGGATTGGTCAGCAGCAGCGTCTCCTCCCAAGTGCCCAGCCCTTCAGCCTCCCCATCCAGTCGTTATTTTGTGTTAAAGTTGCCTTTTTTTTTTTGTAAGTTTGTTCCCCTCATTTTTCTTCCTCATCATCTTCTTTAAGTCATGTATATTTTTTCCCCCAAACACGTGCCCTCTGAACTCCACAGATGCTATACTTTCCTTGAAGAAATTTTACAGTCTCACAGAGAGTCTGGAGTCTTCAGCTTGATTGATATTGGCTGATATGTCAAAGGTGTCATCCAACAGTTCTCATTTATAAATAGAGAGAGAGAGAGGTTTGTTTTTTTTTTAATGTAGCCCGTTCAGCATCCTGCCCTAAAACGAAGAAAATCAGGGCTGATTAAGCCAAAAAGGAAAACACAAAATGCATCCAAACACCAATAGGAACCTGCCTCGGGGTAGGATGGGAACTCTGGGGGATGGTGGGAAGGAAGGAGAGACCAGTATGAGAATTAGTCATGATCATGATACAGTCAAAAGAAATTCGCTCTTCTATTTAAAGTGAGAAAACACTGGGCGGCCTGATGGTGATGGTTGTAGCTGAAGTTTAGAAGGTGGGAGAGCTCTCAACTTGGATGTCTTTAGAGTGTGAATTGAGGGACAGCTAGAACTAAGGGTAGAATTTGGGAGTGGGGGTATGAATTCATAATTAAACATGTCCTTGAGGGATCTAGCCCAGATACTATATGTATACAGAAGCCTAGCAAACAAGATAGCAAAAATCTAGCAGTTTACCCACCCCTCCCCCAGCTAGAGGAAAAGAAGGAAGACAGAGCTGTAAGTTGAATTTTGCAGAATCCTTGCCCAGTTGCTAGCCAACCACTTCTTTCCCAAGGTCAGTTACTATTTGCGAGGCTGTGTATATATATGTATATCTGGATATATGTGTAGAATATTCACCTGCACATATGTGGATATACATGGGTATGTGTGTATGCATATGCACATAATACACACATACACACATACATAATACTTTTCTCATACATGCCAGGGAATTTAGAGGAAATTCAGAACTTCCAAGGAATGGATGGGACCACCTAAAAAAAGGTCAGAATAGATTTAATTATCAAACTAAAATCAATTAACTCAGATAGTTCTTGATTTTCGTTTTGAATGGTGGCTTTTTTGTTTTGTTTGGCTTTAAAGGAAGAAAATCATGATCTGACTAGAATCAGAAGGCGAATGCTTCATCATTGTGAGTTAACAAATGAGACTCATCTCCATTCTAGCAAGCAGCTTCCACTTATACATGAGGTGACTTGTTACATCAAGAAAGTTAGAACTGCAAAGCCCCCAGTTGAGGGGGACAACGTCATGCGTATATCAATCCATGCTGGCAGGTTTTCACACTGTTGATTCAACAAACAGCAAACCGTACACAGCAGTCTAAACAATTACAACACCAAATAAAATAATAATAAAATTAAAAAAGAAAAACACTTGTCAAGGACCCTTTTTCAGTTGTAAACAAAAAGGTGCATTTTTGCTTTTGTTACTAGTATTCCTTCCGGACCAACCAAAAAAGCCCTCCCAGACTCCCGGTCCCCCTTGCCCCCACCCCACACTGAATTTAGTAGAAGTGGCTACAATACAAACCTTAAGGCAATTGTTTCCAGGGCTCTCTTTCAGAGGCCTCTGGCTTTGGACTCTAGTTTTTTTTTGGCATAGAATTTTTAAAAATCATTTTGTTACTGTAAACATTTTAGTTTTGGTTTTCATATTTTCTTTTGAGATGAGATTTAAAATAGCCTAACTGGAAAAAAGACCAGACCTAGGAAAGTGTCAATTGAAAAAGGCCCCCAAATTTCTAGAAAAAAAATAAAATCACAATATTTTCAAGTGCAAGTAAATCAACCACGCATAGATATTTTTAAGATGTTTTCCTTATTTTTAAGAAAAAAAATGAAACTGGTTTGCATAGTTAAATGATCCCATATTTTGTAATTCAGGAATTCATCTTTATTTGTACTAATTTTTTTGTTCTTTTTGTTTTGTTTTTTTTTCTCTATGTGACATCTAGAGAAGCATAAAAAAACGCTGAACAAGAAAAACCAAACAACAGAAAGTAAAACCACTGCAAGCACCAAGAACGAAACGAAAATGAGCACAGCAAAAAATCGTGGCAGCACAAAAGTCAAGAAAATGCACGTGTGATCATGACTGGCCAATCATCAACGGATACGACATCCAAGAAAAACGCTCCAATCACAGCACCTCCACGAAACTTGACGGCAAGTGTCATGCAACCGATTCTTAGCCTTGTTACATGACGCCATCATGTCACACTGTGAACTTTGAGTTGATTTGAACTTACGGATGGGGGACTTTTCTCCACTCTCATGTGATTACGTGAACTTTATTCCTAGCTCAGCGCGAGACTGTGGTGGATTTGACTGGCCCTGGTTGGGTTGTTGGAATTTGATTGAATGACAAAAGAAGAAAAGATTTATATATATATATTTATATATGTAGAGAGAGAGAGAGAGAGAGAGGACAAGAGAGTGTGGGCGGGAAGGGAGACAAGGGAGGGTTGGGGGGGGGTTGGGAGTGTGGGGACAGGAGAGGGGGTTGAGGGTGAAGAAGGGCAAGGAAGAAGTTAAAACAAAATTAAAAGGAAAAATATTTATACAGCACCAGACCACAGCATCAATCCAAAAGCTTGGATGAGAGAACAGCAGTCAAATCATAAGGGAACTGAAAAGAACTCAAAGGATGGAGGAAGCCAGCAGACAGACGACATGGGCACATCAACACACACGCACATACACACACACACACACACACGGCTGTTTATGCAGACACATGATACACTGTGAACAGGAGCAGAGCCTCGCACGGGGACCCTCAGGGCATCCCTCATGCGCTGGGAAGAGGAGGGGGCATGGCGGTTTGGTGAGTGAGCCAGGAAAAATCAAAACAGCCCCTCAAACCACCATGGCTGGCAAGCAGATCTCAGGGAGCAAGCTCACTGTATTAACACCCTTGATTCTGTCTCCCCAGGTTCCAAGCTCTCCTCACCTCCTGTTTGCTGTGGCTACAGCTTGAGGACCTAGCAGGGGTGGCTGGCTGGGTGGCCCTTATTGGATGGACAGGTCATATGCTGGCTAAGGGCAGATACTACACGGCAGCTTGTCCCTACCACCTGGGGTCCCACCTTGCCCTGAGCCTAGGGAAGGATATCCCTAGATGGCAAAGACACCCAAAGACATGGTCAGATTTTATGGCCCTCCACCTTCCCCAGGTTCATACTTCTTTCCTTAGAACCTTCAGAAAACGAAAGCTTCCATTCCTTTTGAGATTTAGAGGTAAATGACATCGATATTCTTGGCATTCTACAAACATGCTTGGGACACTGCTGAGTTCCTTTCATGACCCCCTCACATACTTTGTTTTTGCTCTCCAGGTGGCCAAACTGACTGAGGCTGGTTCTGGTTCCATGAAGCCTTGCAAAGGCTTCATAAGACAGCCATAAAAGAGCCACTGCAGGGTGCGCCCGCCAGAGGGCAGTGCAGAAATCCTGCATCTCCAGCTCCTGCAGCTCTCGGTGCCTCTGTTGAGCCTTCTCTCCCCACTTGTCTTCTACCTCTTACCCCCTTATACCCCACTAGCCACAGCTCTGTAGACTATCCTGTTCCCCCAGCTGCTGCATCTCAACTGCCTTCGTAACTGGAGGAGTCCTCATGATGGAGAACGAGCTTCCTTCTCCATGAGTATCTTCAAATTGCTCCATTTTGGGTTACATTCTGTCCCACTCCCCCATTTCCTAGCCCTATGTTCTGCCCCTGGGATTTAGGGTCCCCAGCTCCATCCTCCTCCCTCTTGCTTATCTGTGAACTTGCTCTCTGCTCCTCAAAACCCTACCTGCCCTTGGTTTATTGGTGGTTTCTAGTCCCACAGGCCTCTACATACTATGGTCTGTCAGGATTTTCCCCCTTGGGAAGATGAATGGGCACCCTCAAATCGTACGCTGTCACAGTGGATAAATTGCATAATAGCTGAGCCCTATGCCCAGCCTCCAGCTCAGCTTTTACAGAGGTATTGCCCGGCCTCCCTCCTTTCTTCCCTCCTCAGCCCCTTGCCCTGCCTCCCCATGCAAGCTGCTTTCTGTGTTCTCCCAGCATCTGCTCTCTTTCAGACCAGGGCCTGTCACATGCTTACCAAGTCCCAAATGTCACTCCCCTCTGCACTGCTAATCCTCACAGAAGCTCCTAGGCTCACCCAGGATGCCTGGTTGCTCTGTACCTCGGGCATGAGGAGAAGCCTAAGAACTAAGGCCTGTATTGCCATCAGGTGTCAGCTCTGGCAACTGCAATGAAGGGACACCATGGGGATTCTCCTCCTTCTCCTCCACACTAGTCCCAGGGGATCTCAGTCATTCCCTCCATCCTACCCTCCTTGACCTCTCTCCTCCTCCTCCTCTAGCTTTCAGCCCAGCTTCCCTTCAGTGCCAAGCACTGATCTGGGCACAGGGACTCAAATGTGGATATACACAGCCTCTCTTCCTAAAGTTCAGTTGTACACACTTCCTCATACACATCCTCTTCTCACACACACTCACACAATGCAGCCTCCCATGCAGTACCTGTCCAGCTGTGCTCTCTCAATCTCTCTCTCTCTCTCTCTCTCTCTCTCTCTCTCTCTCTCTCACACACACACACACACACACATACACACACACACACACACAGAGCTATCTTCCTTTAGGCCAGGTGAATCTCTGTCTACAGGAATGAGTCTTGCCTGGCCATTCTCTGGTGCACCTCACAGAGCACAGCACTGGAGATGAACACAATATCATTGAGCAGCATAGGGGAGCTGAGATCATGTCTTGGAAGCTCCAGCTCAGGAAAGTGGACCAAGTGGAATCAATTCAGGACAAAGGGATCCCAAGACAATTCTGATCTGGGCAGGGCCAGGTAGGACTGTTCTGCCTGCTGGCTGTGGATCTGGTCATGATCTACTTTTTTTGCCCACTCATTCTGCTCCTGTTTCCTTCCTTAGTTTCCCAGTAAACGTTTCTTGGAGAAACTCTCATTGTGGTATAAGACAATGAGCTCAAGCAGCTAGAAGGGTGGTGGCAGCACAAAAGGGAGGAAACAAGTGAGGAAGGAGAGCTTCACTGACTCCAGCCCTAATCCCTCTACAGCTGTGATCTAAGTCTATGGAATGGACCCCAACTGTGTTCCCAATGGCTAGCTAGATGGGGCCCCTCTCCTTCCCTAGTCTACTTCATGATGTTTTAACTTGGACACAAAGCTTGGACACCACTGTAGGTGGCTACCTCAGCCCGGAGATCCCCTCCTTGCTACCTCTTTGCTCCCAGCAATGGCTGGTCCCTTCTATTCCTGCTCAGGCCTTCCTGAGCATGTGACGCCAACTGAGGCTTCAATCATTTATAATCACCCTTCATTGGCCTGCTTTTTGGTGCCATTTTCTCCCTGGCTGGCAGCCCAAGAAGGTCCACTTCTCACTGCAGTCCCAGAGGCTGCCTGAGAAGTCCCCATCTCCTCCTGCAACTACAGCTTCCTTAGCCTTAGGCTGGGAAGGTTGAAGGCAGCATTGGTTAAGTGCTATCTAAGCAAAACACCGAGGAGTTTTGAAAGACTGGTTTAGGAGGAAAGAGACTGTCAACTGCTGACTCTGGAGAAGTGAGGTGTCATATACTCTCTGAAATTCACGACACTGGGGTATAGGAGGGTTGGGGTGGCATGGGGGAGCTGGGGCTTCTCATTCTACTCACTTGAAGGGAACTGGGCTACTGCTTTCAAAACTTGGCTCTACCACTTACTAGCTGAGGGACAAGTCACTTGACCCTTCTGGACTCTGTGAAAAAATGGGAATGCTGACACTAGCCAGTTGAGAGGTGGTCACAGCTAATTTATGTCTTCACAGCTGTTACCTGTCAAGAGTGGTGCCTGTACTAGGCAAGTACCTGTGGAGGTCTATAGTTCTTTTCTTTCTGGACTTTGAATTCCATAGTATAAGAATCTACCCTGCTTTTTAAGCTATACCTCCTAAGCCCTCATCCCATTTCTGAGTACCAGCTGGATCTACCCTAGAAGCTACTTCGTATTTTAGATTCCAATCAATGCAACAGCAATCCTTCATCTGGGAATTGCTCTGACTTAAAGAGGTTCTACTGTTGCTTGGGCCATGGAGGCAAAGACATCTGAGCTACTATCAAGAACAGTCATTGGGACCCCTGCGATTCTCCAGGCACAACTACTATGTGCTTCCTTTAAATCCTCTGACTTCAATACCATGGGTTTATGGATAAGGAAGTGGAAGTCCAGAGGGGTAAGCATTTTGACTCAGGTCACGCTTGAAACAGAGCTACTCTTGTTCAAGGAAAAGGGTTCACATATGCAGAAAGAATTGTGTGATGGAACCATCCATCTCCTTCTATGGAAACGTACCCACTTCCTGGCTACTTCCTGGTAACTGTGTGCACAGAGCTAGAAGCTCCATGGTGTGATCCACTCAGCATTGCATCCCCAGTGCTGAGAGCCAGGGCTGGCACAGAAGGTGCCAGAACTCTGAACCAACATGTATGTGTGGAGCTTCCCACAAGCTAGAAGTGGGAAGAACTGGGAAATTAGGAGGCCAGAGTCCAATTTTTCTCTTCCAGGCTTGCAGAGCAGCAGTTCTTAATGGTGGTGAGTGTTGCTACTTCTCAGTGAATGGAGAGAGGGTCTTCCACTGGTGTCTCAGTAAGGTGAGGGTAGGATTTATGGAGAGAACAAGATGCTGAAGACTCCAGGCCTGCATTTGAATTTCTAACTCACATGCCTGATCTTTCTCCTAGGTATTTTACTCTTCCAGACATGTGGACCAAAAGCTAGGAGTCATCCTAGGCTCCTCTTTCCCTTGTACCCTTCCTAATTCATTTGAATTCGTTCAGGGAATCCAGACATCCATGGTGCTGCCCTCAAAGCACATCTAAGACATCAAATCCTTTACTCCCCATGGCCTGCTCTCTCACTGAGAGCTCAATGCAGTAGATCTTTGCTTCAGACCTTATAGACCAATATCAATACAACATTCCGAGCAAGCCTACTAAAAGCAGTCTTCTCTCAGAATTTCCCCATGCCTAATCCTGCTTTGGAGATTCAAGTCTATACACAGCCTGTAGGACCCAAACCCTCCTCTATCCCTCTGTGGTTCTCCTCCATCCCAGGTCTCCTATGCCTCTCAGCCCAAGGGGCCCTCCAGTGACTCAGCCACTGCTGCTCCGTGGACTCACTGCCCATGTGCTTGCTTGCCTTGGGGCCTGTACACTGGCCTTTCATCACCTTCTCAAGTCTTTGCTCAGATTTCAATCTCTCAAGGAGACTGGCTTTGACAACTCTACCTGATTTAACTGTAGCCAACAATTCTAACATACTAGGTAGTGTTCTTTCTGTCTCCTCCTTCTCAATGTTGGCCATTCTGTTCTGAGGGCCCAACAGTACTCAAGGCGCCATACTGCTGAATAAATGAGCAGGAAGAGCCCAAAGGTAGTCTTCAGACCTGGTCTGACATCTCTCTCCACCCCTTTCACAGGACGCTGTGTCGAGAAAAACACTTGGTTTGACTAGGAGTGTCTGGCTTCCTCCATCAAATTCCCTGCCTGAGAAGAAGACAGGATTGTCTACTCATTATGACCCACTAACAGGAGCAGGTGAAGGATCCCAGGGCTAGGCCCTCTCTGCTCCCTACCTTTTGCCCTGTCTGTTGTTTCCAAATATCCTGCCTCTCCTGTCCTGACTGAGCTATGGCAATGTGAAGGGTCGACCCTCCTGGAAGAACTGGGGAAGGCCAGAGAGTCTGGGAGGAGGAGGCTCCAACATGTGACTAACCCCCCTGCAGGAACTGAGCTTGCCATCTGCCTTCCATCCCAAGGTCTCTGGCCAACAGAACGCTATATGGTGACTTGGAGGGACAGGCCCAGGGCTGACCTTGCTTTTCAGACGGCCCCCTCACTTAATAGCCAACTCCCGGATACTAAGTGGTCCAGGGACAGGGGAACCGCCATGCCCATTTCTGCCAGGATGACCACAGCTCTGCGCCTGTCCTATGGGCTCTGGGCATGGGGGGTTGGGGGAGGCAGGTTGAGCAGGGCGCATCGGGTCCAAGACACAAGTGAGCGTTGGGCCCAAGGAGGCCCTAGAATGCGGCGGGTCCGTCCGATGTCCTCTCTCCAACCTCCCGTCCCCACGCACTGGCCGCCCCCGGTTACCTGTGCGAGTCCTGGTCTCCCCCGGGGGACGCTCCCGCCGGCGCTCAGTAAGGGCGATTGGCGTCTTTGGGCCGCTTCAGCTGCACCTTGAGCCTCTTCATGCCGATCTGGAAGCCGTTCATGGCCTGGATGGCGGTCTGCGCGCTGGCTGGGTTGTCGAAGCTCACGAAGCCTGGCGAGACACGAGGGACGAGGGCCTGGGTTTCCACGGGGCCGCTCGGGACCACTCCCGGTGGGGAGGGATTGGTGGGGAGGAGGCCGGGCGGGGGCGGGACGGGGCTCACGGCTCCTCCCCCAGGCCCCGAGGCTCCTCCCCCGGCCCAGCCTCAGCGCCCCGCGGGGGCTCGCGCCCGCGCCCCGCGCCCTCCCTCCGCCCGCGTGCGAGGGCCCCTCCCCGGGCTGGGCGTTCTGGAGGCCCCGGCTGCCCGGCCACACCTGGGTGCCCGCGTCCTCGGCGGGGCTCGGAGAGGTGCCCGCCCCCCACCCCGGCCGGCCCCGCCACCTCGGCCCTCTCCTTCGGTGGGAGAGGGCGGACACACCTGCGGGTGGAGGAGTTTATTGGACACTGTCCTCCCTGACAGGAGGGGGCCTGGCAGCGAGAGGGCACGGGGTGCCGGCCTGGGGAGAGAGAGGAGTGCGAGGGGACGGGAGGGGAGGCACCGCGGAGAAAAGCTCTCCACCGCCGTTTCCGGCCGCCCCCCCTCGCCAGTGTGGCCCAGCGGCCTCGCCGCCCCTGCGCCCCCACTCCCGGTCCTGCGCGAGGCTGAGGCTGCCCGGCCAGAATCCCGGCCGACCGACCCCCCCGAGAAGCCAGACCAACGCTTCCCAACCCGCCGCCGGGTCCCCCAGCAGCGGTGGGCAGCCCCTCTTCCGCGAGTGGACACGTCCCAGCCCTGCGAGCAGGCGCGCTCTCCCCGCGCCAGAGGATTTCCCTGAGCCCCCACAGTGATCGCAGGCGTCAGAATCCGTCGAAAGCCATCTTAGAGAACCGGGGACTACAGCGGGGCTCTGCACACCTCCACTCCTCCAGCCCCCCCACCCCGCCCCCCGGCCTAAACAAAGCCCGGTGGCAGGGGTCCTAACCAGAAAGCCGGTTTGGAAGCCTATTTGGGGAAACTTTGACAGCATCTCCTGGTGGAGACCACACGGAGGCTTCTCTATTTCTCTCCTTGATCTGTGCAGCGGGGATTTCTACGCTCGGGTAGGTGTCTAGCCAGGCCCCCTTTGGGCCAATTCAAGAAACATGAAATAGAAACATCCCCTCTTGCCCCCAAGTGTCTCCAGGAAATAAACTTTTATAGTTCTGTCTTTATCTAATACTTCCTTGAATTCACTCAAGTTCAGAAGACTTTCTTGTAGAGTTCGATCCTGAAAAATATGTGTAGCCTCAAAAAACAAAAAACTTACCAAGTTAAAAAAAAAAAAAAACCTTAAAAGCAAACGATGTGAAGCCCAGCTTGGTGAGTTGCTCACTCACTGTCTCTGGAGCACGCCACAGAGATGGCTGTGGGCTCCCGTCCTGGGTCAAGCTGTTTTCTTGGTTGTCTGTGGAAGCCTAGCCTTGCCTGAGACTTTATTCCAAAACAGAACACACTTTTCTCACTCTCCCCACCTAGTGGCTCTTTCTCTCTTTTTACCCCCACCCCAAACACTGCCTCCATTTGCCCCTTTTCTTTTTCTCTTCTCTCCTTTCTGTGCTCAATTGCTCAGGCAGCCATGCACCATCAAAGATAGAGGAAGAGGATGTACGTGTACATATCTCATTCGCACACATATGGACCCATGAGCCCAGATCAATGAAACCAACATCTGTATAAATCAATTATACCAGAGTGAACAAGAAAGATGTAGGATCACCTGTAGTTTGTGATCAGCCTCCAGTCATCCACCAACTCCCCTCCTCCCCTCTCTCCCATCTCCCTCCACTGACCTGTGTCTGATGACTAAAGTCAAGTGCTTAGCATACCAAAGCAGTTTTCAGAAGAGAGTGTGTCTTTTTATACTGCTCTATGCCAGACTTAAGGAGAGTGGGCAAACTAAAGCTTCTGTTCCTGCCAGGACAACATAGCCTGGCTCTAGGTACAAGTTGTACCTCTCATTCCTCTGCTCGCACACTGGCACCACAGGCACCAACTCTACTTCAACACCTGGGTTTAGCAGCTCTTTTGGAAGGAAAGCAAGCAAAGCAGAGAGGAGAAGGAAGAGAGATAAAAGAGGTGATGGGATCTTGCCTGGAGCAAGGCAAAAGGGAGGCATGGAAGGGGGGCAGGTAGAGGAGGTCATGACCAACTTCTCAGAAACCTTGGAGCTGGGGAGGATTCTGGGCTCAGGAGAATGTTCCTTCCTCACCAGTTTCATCACTTGGCAAAAAGGGAAGAGCCAAGAAGTGTCTGCCTGAAGACTCGGGCCCCTGTAGTCAGAGCTGTGACTACTAGCTCCCCATGTACACTGTTCTCAGGGCTGTTTTCCATCCTTCAGAGCTCCCTGTTCCATTCTTATCCCACCTTTGAGAAGTTCCTGCCTTCCAGATGCCCTAAGGGAAGCCTCCTAATATCCCCCCAGCCCAATGCCCATCACAGGAACATATCCTCACAAATACCTCTAGTGTTCTGTTTACACATTTATATGGATGCTGATGTAAGGCCATGTGTAATGGAATCTCTGAGGAGTCCTCTTTACCACAGTACCACATTTATATATGGGAAAATAAAGTAAAATAGCCCTCAGAAGAAAAGGGACAATTGCACATCTAGAAGGTCTGCCCTGTCAAGACCATCTCATGGAACCTTTATAATATCTCCTAAGAGTGACTGTTAATATTTTGTTTCATGAATGAGGACACTAAGCTGAGTATTTAATGAATTGCCTACATTGAGCATGGATGCTAAGGGTCACACTATGGGTATCTGAGAAAGTGGCTAAAGGCTCCCACTGCTGGAATGAGTGAAGGGACTCAAGTGGCTTAAGAAAGAGCAACCTGGCTGGGCAGGTCTTAGAGTAAGAAGGAGGGAGGGAGGGGGGATGGAGGGAGAGGGAGAGAGAATGGGAGAGAGAAAGGGAGAGAGAGAAGAGGTGCAGAGGAGACAAGTCTATAAAATACAGGAAAACAATTTTGGTTCTGAAGAATGTAAGTGGGCCAGTGGCTTTGGCTGGTAATGCTCAGGGCAGGTAGTACCTATGGGACAGCTCCAATGTGTCCAAATAGGATGTGGCTGTTGACAAATCCTAACTGAACCCAGATGGCCCAGGGCTTCCTTGGTTCTGAGCAGTTTTCTTCTTGTTTACATAGCGTTTGAGATTTACTTGAAGAACGTATGCCACTGACTTGCAGTTTGTTTTTGTATACATCATCTGAACTCATAAGGAGAACTACCAGTCGTACAGTGAGATGTGCACCCCTGTCTTTTGCTCTGTGTCCATGCAAAAGAAATGAGTGGCTGGGGCAACTCTATGTCATGGTTGGACCACAATCCTGTGACATCTGGTGTAGCTGTGAGGGAGGAGGGAACGTTGATTCTAAGATGTTGACTACAAAGGACACACCCTCAATCCTCAAAACCTTCATGGGTCTGGAAAGCTGTTCTTCAATCAAGAAACTCCTTAACATGTGCTTCCTGGTGCTTCTCCCCTCTGTATCTTCTTACTTCACCACCCTCAAGTTATGACCTGGGCTCTCTGGCAAATACAAGTTCTAAGCAGCATTCTGGAAGACTCAGCTCTGTTCCCACATGTGGTTCCATGGGGACTACACTCCTCTGTCCTTAGGAACTCACAAGTGGACCTGAAGAGGATGGAGAGGGACCAAGGGAGGGGGAGACAGAGGAAGGTTTTTGACATTTGGGGCAGGGGAAGAGGAGGATTCCTTGAAGCTTAGAGATTCTTGGATAAGGCTGCTAGATTTTGCAAATGAAAAAAAAAAATCAGGTGCCCAGGGCAATGTGAATTTCAGATGAATAGTGGATCCTGTTGTTGTTGTTGTTGTTTTTCAGTACAAGTATATTCCCAACATTACATAGGATCACATGTGTTTGGAACATACAATTTGAAAAAAAATTACCTGTTCTATGCAATTCAGATTTAGCTGGGCAGCCTTTATTTTTCCAATAACAAGAAGACTTGAACGCTCCCAAGTCTTCTCTCTCCCATCTAATACCCTATCACCAGACAAATTTCCCGTCAGTTTGTTTCCATTCTCCTACCATATTCTATAACCTACCACACCATGTAAACTCTCTTCATAAGAACCGCCAAGGCACTCCCATTTCAGACCCTCCTTCATGGTGTCTTGTAAGCCCTCCTCTCTCCAGGAAGCCTCCTGCTGCCTTTTGTCCTCAGTCCTTATCTTTTCTCATTCCAGCCTCCCATTTTAGATTTTCTGTTCTTCCTCTGTCTTCCTTACTGCTTCATTCCTTGGTGCTGGGCAGAGCTTACTGCTTATTAGTAGCTGTGGTTTCCATATGAGCTCAGAGCTTAGACTTCCTGAAGGTGGGGACCAGCTCCCTCTCAACAATGCTCAGCTCTGGTGGCCTGGGAGAAAGGGGTTTGGCTAGACAGAGAGTGAGTGGCAGAACAGAGAGAGGACGAAGGGGCAACTTCTGAAAGGCTATCTACCCCTGGGGGTTAGGAATCACCAGGTTTTACAGTGAGCAAGCTGAAGCCATCCACTCTGACAGTGAGAGGAAAGGGGCTCTGGGTTATGCCTAAAGTCCCTCCCACCCCTACCCAAAATGGCCCCTTCCCTTCCTCAGCTGGCTGGAATAGACCTTTGGACTGGAACAGGAAGCTGATGTCTTGGCTGGGATGTGGGAAGTGAAAGCCAGGGAGGGTGGGGGAGGGGGTGGCAGGGAAAGCCGAGAAGCAAAAGGAACAGCAGAAAAGAGAGAGATAGGTGAGAGATGGAGGTTGGGCCCAGAGAGCACCCGAGGGCGATGAGAAAGGAGCAGGCGAGAAGTGGTTGGACACCTGTAAGTTGGTGCGAGCAGCCCCTGTCCTAGGTGAAGCTGATTGCTGGTTTGTTATCTTTACCCACCAAAGCATTTACTTTGGTTAGTCGCCCGATCCACAAACACTTTCGAGGAGATGACATTACCGAAAGGGAGGAACATCTGCATCAGCTCAGCGTCCCCAAACTCCTGGGGCAGATGGTAGATGAACAGGTTACAGCCCTCGGGCCCTGCGGTGAGGGGAGGGGGTGGGCAGGGAGGAGGGATGGCAGGGTGGGGGAAGAGAGAGACAGAGGAGAGGTGAGCGAGTTAGGCAGCGCAGCAGGGAGGGTGGGGCAAGGTTAGGAGGGGGTTCCACTCAAGATCCAAGGGCTAGCCCTGAAGAGTGGGAGTTATTGAGTCCCAAGTCTGCTCTGGGGCAGGTCACAGAACCTCTCTGTGTCTCAGTCACCTTTTCTGCAGTAACAGGCAGCCTGGAAGCTCAGGGGTTCCAGGGGCAGAGGCAATGAGAGAATGGGGTGAACATGATCAGCTGTAGCTTTGGAAATGAGGTGCTGAAGGAGGGGTTTAGAGAGGCTGCGGGGCCTCCTCCTGGAGGGAATGGCCCTGAGAAGGGAATTATCCTGCCCTTGTGAACTAATTCACCTTCTGCTTCCTGCAGGCTTGGCCTCAAGTGGCCAGGCCCCCTGCCTTCCAGGCCTGTAGCTCTTCGCATTTAGCCATGAAATCCTTGCCCTGAACCTCCCACTCTCTCTCTCTAGTGTTGAAGGCAGAAAGCAAGATTTATGCTGCTTCTCCAGGAGGCGGTACAGGAAGGGCTTTCAATAGAGGCTCCATAGTTAGCTCGGCCCCCCTAGAGCCTCACCTTACACAAGCTTCTCCACTCCTTTACAATAGCCCTGCCACTTTTACAGCATGAAAAATACTTTTACAGCATGTCAGGCTGTTCTAAGCACTTTATATGTGTGTTAATTCACCTCATCCTTCAGCAATCCTATTGCTTAATGATTCTCATCTACAGTACACAGATGGGGAGACTTGAGGCCCAGAGAGGTTGTCATGTGCCAGAAGATGCAGTGCAGAGAGGGAAGCCAGAATATAAACCCTGTCTGTCATCTCCATAAGGTGCGCCCTTCGCTTTCTTTCTCTGCCTGCCTGCCTGCCTGCCTGTCTGCCTGTCTGTCTGTCTGTCTGTCTGTCTGTGTGTCTATCTGTCTTTCTCTCTTTCTCCCAATCTGTCATAAATCTCAGCCCTTTAGAGTCCCTGTACTTTGTAGAGGCCTTTGGATTTCTGGAATTTTTGCCCAGAGCTTTATGTTTCTTTTTAAATGGTCAAAATGCTCTGGTTTTACTCTGTAACATGGAAAATTTCCCAAGATGCCTGGCATATTTCTTGCAGTCTGCATAGCCCCTGCCACATATCATTTAACCTTTGAAGTGACTCACAGTTACGTGAGCGATGGCCTGAATGTAAGTGAAGGCTGTACAGCACCAATGTGGCCCTATGTATGGATTTTGCAGCCAGATCCAAACACAATGGGTCTCTGGGACTAGCCAGGCCACCAGAGAACCTAGCTTTATGGCAGACAGCTCACTGTGGATTCCCTCTGTCCTCGTCTTTCTCTTCTCTCTCCCCTTTCCCATCCTCCTTTTAACTTGGCCCCCTAGAGGTCCACAACCTATGGAAGACTCTCCTGCCCACCAAAGCCACCTGCTGAACTGCTGGCCTCCACGGTTCCTATGCGCATCCTCTTACCACCCCAAGTACTTTGCCAGTGGACGGCGCATTCAAAACCAGGCGCAGGCGTACCCTCCCTTCACCCTGTCCCTTCCAGCTATGCCATGTTCTGTCCGGTGCATACCATGTGAGTGCACCTCTTGATGGGCATCAGCTGTGTGGGAGCACCTTTGGGGCAGGAACCATTTGAAGCTCCAAGCCCCACCTCCTCCAGGATTCCCACGCGTATTGTCCCCAGCACCTCTCTCCCTGAGAATACTCCTGGCTTCTCCCTTCTAGGTCCCCAGAATCCATCTTCCATCCTCTGTGGAGTTGAGGCTTTCACCCTATCAGGAAGATTTTTCTCTCCAACAAAACAGGCCACTCCCTAGAACAAGTGCATTTCCTCCTCCAGCCCATGTCCTGCTTCTCATTCCTCAGGGCTTCCCTGATGGTTCCACCTTGTGCTGATGCCCAGCTGGGACTTGGAATCCTCATTACATGTTCAAGTTCTACAAGCTGCTTCCTGAGCATGTTTATCTGTTCTCTCATTAGACACAGGAAGTCCTCAGAAACAGATCCTTGGGCTTAGTCCCATCTCTGTATTGTGAGGCTGAGCTACCAGGACAGTCCTTCAGCCTTCTGCTGTCAACTGTGAGCTGATATGCCCAGCCTTCATCCACAGAAAACAGAATATCAGATAGGACCATCATGACTTTACAGATCAGTCAGGTCCAATCCTAGGTGACACAGATCTTTAGAGACAGAAAGCGATTACCCTGACCATATAGCAGTCTTAGGCAGAGCTGGAGCTATAGCCTTCCCTGAGGGCAACCTTGTCCCATCTGTGGAGCAGGTGGCCTAAGGAGTGGAGGAAGACTCAGGCATCTGGTGGTTTTCAGACTCAGCTCCAAGAGAAGGAGCTGGAACAAGAGTCATCCCCAGTACCCAGTGCATTCTGATATTCAGTTGCTGTCCTCAGAAGGGAAAGTGACTATGATATTAAAAAGACAACTATTTGGGAGAGCTAGGGAAATACAGTCTTCTTTCCCATCCAGGCCTTAGAAAACATCATGGGACCCAGCTCTGGTCTTGCTCCAACCTACCTTTCTGCCTGTCTCCCGAGTCCCAGGCTCACCTTATGTTTAGCAGCATCCTTTGCTCTTGGTGTCCCCCTTCTGGAATGCCTGCCTCCCCAACTCTATGTGCTGAGGCTTCCTTCTTCTAGGCCCACCTCAGCCTTCGCCAGCAACCCATTCCCAGTACCATGATCTCTCCCACGTACGCTGCTCAATTCCTTTAGTCTCTGAATTCAGCCCCAGCCCCTCCACAACCTCTGCTCCCCTGGGGGAGTTCAGCTTACTCATCATGGCCAGAGAGAATGGAAGACAGTCACGGGAGATCCTCTACCCTAGGAGTGGGGGCTGTCCCAAAGGGTCTGGTTTTGTAGCGGGGCATGGGAGAAGGTGTGGCTTAAGCTTCTCAGAGATGGTAAAAGTGAGAAAGCGGTGAGAGCTACATGCATAAGGTACAGAGGAGGAGCAGAAAGTGGCTGGGGATCAGCAGTGGGAGATGCCAGGTATGTTGGGTCAGTGTGGTACTGACCTAAAGCTGTGTAGGGGTGTGGTGATGGTATTTAAAGACTCATGAGCCTACAGGGTGATGCAGGAAGCTGATTGTGGTCAGCTGGATGACCAACAGATGACAAAAGTAGCAGGGCTGCTGGGCGCTGGTGGCTCACGCCTGTAATCCTAGCTACTCAGGAGGCTGAGATCTGAGGATCGCGGTTCAAAGCCAGCCCGGGCAGGAAAGACCGTGAGACTCCTATCTCCAATAAAAAAACCACCAGAAAACTGGAAGTGGTGCTGTAGCTCAAGTGGTAGAGCGCTCGCCTTGAGCTGAAGAGCTGAGGGACAGCGCCCAGGCCCAGAGTTCAAGCCCCAGGACCGACAAAAAAAAAAAGTAGCAGGGTTTGTAAACATAGCTCTTGGCTCTAGGCCTGTACCAGCAACACTGGGTGCCACCCTGATTGACGATGGCTCGAATCAAGGACGGCAGTGGCAGAGCAGTCCCTAGGGAAGTGCCCTTCTGGGGAGACAGTGAGAACACAAAGGCTAAAGTGGGTGATGTATCTAGGGTCATCTGGGAAGGAGGAGAGCAAGCTGGATGTTCGATCAAATGTTGGTTGCAAAATCCTGGCTCTTGGCTATGCAGGTACTAGGACCTGCTAGGATTCTGTCTCATCAAAAGGGGTTGGACTACAACATAGCCAAGGTTCCTTCCAAGTAATCTATATCCCACAGCTCTGGAATGGTCTGATGCAGGGACTATAGCAACTGGAGATCACTCTAACTCCCTGCCATGAGGGCCCCTAGAACAGACTTCAGGGTATTGTTGGAGGTAAAGAAGACAGGATTTTGTTAGTGTTCCAATTCCTCAAGCTCAGCTCTCTGTGGGCAAGTCCTTTGGGCCAAGGGGGAAAAAAAACTTGTTCATCCAGTCTCTGGTCTTCTTGATTCTGAGCCTTGGGATAAAAGGGTGCTAAAAACCATTATGTGGTCCCTGCCGCCCAAGCTAATGGAGCTTTCCTTCCTGTTTATGCTCACATACTAGATGTGGTGTTCAGTACGTATGTACTCTTTACTAGACCTGCACCATGTCGCCCCCACCCCCATGCCTTGATCTGCCCAAGAGACAAGGAGCTTCACCTGTCTGTCTACTCTACATGGAGGGCACAATATCTCTTCCAGGATGAACTAGTTTCCCTCACCCACACCCACAGATATCAGGCTGTGAATATGCCACTAAAGCACCCACATGGTTGGAGACTCATCTCCCAGCTGTGTTCTCACTGTCTGGGAACACACAGAATGGGCTTCTATGTCCTCCCTAAAGCTGAGGACTCCCTGGGGCAGGAGAAAGGCCCCTACCAGTTAATACCTGCATAACCTCTGTTGGGTTCTATTTAAAGGCTGATTCAAAGGCTTGCTAAGGAAGGAATGTAACCCTAGCCAAGATACTGGCATGTGTGCTGTGTCAGACCAGTGGTAAATGATGGAACTACATAGGAAAGCTGCTATGTGAGTGATGGACGGCAATCTGTCCTGTCTCCTGCTCCTAGGCTAGGTCACCACTCTGGTTTACAAAGCTACCTACAAGGTGCATCCCTCTATGTATGGACAGGATAGAAGCATATCTTACCACCCTGCTGCCCTGTCCCATCCACCTCCACATACACAGAGACAGGGTTGTCTTTCTAACCAAGGCCCTTGCCAGAGGCCCACGGGAGGCCAGAGGCTCAACAGACAATCTCTTTAGGGAGAGAGGAAGGGGAGGGACCATGACTCACCTTCTCTCTGTTGCTGGGGAATCATTGGTGGTGGCTGAGGAAATGCCTGGCTTATCTGACCATAGGCAGCAGGGTAGGCGGCTGCTGGAGGGCCAAGGGGAAGAGGCGAGAGACAGCGATGGCGACAAGATGCAGAGAGAAAGGCAGACAGGGTGAGAAGTAGGAAGAAAGAGAAGAGGTTCAGTGTCAGGCAGTAAAGGCTGACCAGACACAGGGTATGTGTCTGCTCAGCCACTTCAGAGAAAGCAGTCTTTAATTTTTGGTACCAGTGAAGGAGTGACGGGGTGATGCTAAGTGTGTGTGTGTGTGTGTGTGTGTGTGTGTGTGTGTGTGTGTGTGTGTGTGTGTGTGTGGTGTGTGGTGTGTGGTATGTTTGGGGGTGAGGGCAGGCAGATTGAACTTGGAACACTGGGCAACCATGGCTCATCTACCTTTACTCTCACTCAAGTGGCAGCTGTCGGAGGACAAAGGGCTCTGCCTGAGCTATAGACTTGGCTTCCAAGAAGCCTGCCCAGGGGCACAGGACTCAGTTGGACAAACCCGATTTCTGTATCTACTTGGAAAAGGTCAAAGGTAGGACAAGAATGGCCAGCATACTCCTTAGCCTGGTCTAGACCTGAGGTCAGAGCTGTGGAGAGTTTGGCTAATAAGAGAGCTTCCTCTAGACCCTAGTTAAACAGAGTCAGCTTCCCTTGATTGTCCATCTTGCCAGAGAGACCCATTACCCTCAGGAGAGATGGGTCTGGCTCTCTAAATCCAGTGAAGAGAGACCTTGACCAGGCCAGATAAGGCGCAGGTTGGGCAGAGATGATGATGGGTATATTGCCCAACCCAGAGACAGAAGAAAGGCAGAAGCTTGCTGGTAGCTTAGCTGGGCTCAGTTACCCCATCCCCCACCCCCTCAGGCTGTTTCTTTGAGCGTCTTCTTTTTTCCCTATCTCCAGCTGCCTCTCCTCCTGCCTCAGCTGTATCTCACTTGCCTGCATGTGAAGAGTGAGCAGAAGCTGCTTCCTTTCCCGAGTCCCTCCTCCTCTCAAGTCCAGGCCCTGTACTTCCTGGACAAGTGACCAGGGATTGCACTGAGCAGAGAAGCACAGGGCAGCGCTAGCTCCAGTGATGCAATGTCACTTTGGGGTTCCTGGGTACACAGACCCTAGCAGTCAGTATAACGGGCTTCGATAACAAATGATAGCCTAGGAGGGAATCCTTCGGCCTGGCTCACTGACCTATCTGAAATTCTGCATACCTACTACTCTCTGGGCAGCATGTACATTGGAAAAACTGCCTTGAATGCTGCAAGAGCAAGGCAGCCCAAGGGTGGAGGGGGTATTTGGGGTGGGCATGGGTATCTCTGCCAGCATAGCCCTCCCTCCTTCCACCCAGATCCCCTGCCAGTCCCTCCCCAACCATGCAGTGCTGAGCCCAGATTTGGGGGTAGGAAGAGAGCACTGGTGCCACAGGCAGGCTCTGGGGAAAGAGCCTAAGAGACGCGTGGATACTAACGACCTGCATACTGCTGCACTCCAGCGTAGGCCTGCTGCAGGGGGTCCGCGGCGGTGGGGCTCTGTGCTGCAAGGGAGCCAAGGGAGAAGATGTCAGTAGTGCCTGTCTAAACTGGCCCCTGCCCCACCCTATCCAGGGGCACCATGCAATGGCTGCACTGCTCTTTTCCAGCCAGTGTAGGCTGGCCCTTGGGCAGAGCATTGGAGATAAGCACCTTGATGCTGGGCCCTGTTGGAAGTCTCCTTTCTGTGCTCAGGGCCCTTAGGAAATGAGAGCATTGCCCCCCACCGTGGCTGGGAGATACAGGGTGCAGCTGTCTTGGGTGGGAGGAGGGTGGGGTTTCATGCAGAAGACTAGAGGGCTAGGGAAGAAATTCCAGAGGAGGGCTCAACCATGGGGGCCTTGGTGGGGAGACGCATGAAGTACCCAGATCTGGAGAGGGGCTGTGAGGGTGCAGGATGTCAGCAGGGAGGGGGCCTTGTCCTCACTGATCCTCAGCAGAAGTTGGGGGCACTGAACAAAAGAACAGCCTGGCAGGTCTCATGTGGATGAAAGAAAGACCACAGGAGGCCTTACTTCATCACTTCGTCTTTCTGAACTCACTAATGTCGTTCAGAGGGACTCCTAGGGAATCTGTACAAGACATGGAGATCTTCCACTCCTGGCCTTGCTGTAGGCTCTCCCAGTCGGAGCTGGCCATATAAGTGAGGCTGGGGGCAGGGTGTGGCTTACAGAAACCAAGGATCCAGAAGACACAAGACCCCACTTCTGACTTGTGGCTCTGGGATGTCTGCTTCCCAGTGGGAAAAGATTTTTGACCTCAAACTTTACAAGAACCTTGGGGAAGCTGGCCTAGGGCAAAGGTTTGGTTCACCTCTGTGAACTCTAAGGAGTTGTGAGCAAAAGACCAAAGTGTGTCTCAGCAGAGGATGGTGACTAAGGAAGGCACCTTTGGTGACTAAGGCTGGAGATGACTGAAATGGGTGCAGGATTCTGGGAGGCTCAAGGAGGTAGGTGGGGTTATCTCACTGGTAGCAGGAGAAAAACACCCCGGGGCTCACATGCCTGTTGGCCAAAGCAAGCTAGACTAACTGAATGTCACGCTTGGGTACCTGTTAGAGTGGGTGAATTCCCAAGTTTCCTTCCATACTCTTGTCCCTGAGTCTTACAGTACAATTCCATTAGGAAATAGCACCTAGACCTCAGGAGAGCTCTTGGAAAAGCCTGGGATAGAGGTCCCTAGGGAAAGTAGGATGACAGTCCCCAAATGCTTTAGGAACTAAGTCACAGCAGAGAAAACAGCCTATACCAGGGCTCTGCTGAGCAGAGAAGAGCAACACAGAAAATGGTCTGTGTTGCTGGCTGTTTGCTTCCAGGAGCTGTTCCAATCTAATTCTTTGTTCCCTGGTGTTTAGACTGAAGCTCAAAACTCCCTGGGATGTTCTGGGAAGAGTGATCTCCTGACTCCTGCACCTCTGCCTGACTCCTCTGCCAGATCTGTAGAGGGTCAGCTACATCTGCCTTAGCCTCTTGATCTTCCTCCTACTCACCTACTCAGTTCCTTTATGTGCATTAGAAAAGGTGTCCCTTCTTCATGCACACAATGTGACTCCTTCATATAGAAAAGTCACATGGTAGCCTCCTAGCACGCTGTTGTGAACTCAGTAAGTGCTCACTGAACAATATAGCTGAAGGGTTTGTGAACAATCTTCAGTGTTTGTCAGAGGCAGCCCTTCCTAAGGGCTTTGTGGCAGAGAAGGCCATACTGTAGGCTCTAACATGCTTACAATGGAGAAGGGAGAATGAAGACGCCACTGGGGCTAGTAAGTGGAGAAAAGCATCCTTGAACCCTCCCCCTTCCCTGCTTAACGACCTCATTAGTAACTGCCAAAGAGTGAACATGTTGAAGGATCTCGCTCATTACAGTGACTCCAACTCTGCATTTAAAGATGGTAAATTAATTTTTTAAAGTACTATTTTCCTCTCTGTATCTCTCTCTGCTTCTCTCCGTGTCTCTGTCTCTGTCTCTCCTATCTCTTGCTTTGGCAGGGGATTGTTTATAGGATCTGACAGATTGTTACACATAGCGAAACGAAACAATTACAAATTCTAGAAGGGAAATGGGCTCACATATGTTGGTGGGTTTGTCAGAATCCAAAGATCCAGATGTGCCTGGAGGAAGGGAAAGGTGGAGAACGAAACCACCCAGAGGCGCTGGGAGGGCACCTTCCAGCACACAAGCCTAACACTGGTGGAGTCACTTCTACCTCCAGCTGGCCAATCCCCTCCCTCACCACTGTTCCCATCCTGCAGTCTTCAGTCTTAATACCCAGAGCCTCTGAGCTCTACCAGATCTCTAGACTTCTCAGGCTGCGTATCTGTGGACTGAGGACGGTGCTGCAAGGCAAGCCTTACTTTTCTCATTGAGCACTGGAATAAAGGACAACTCCTAGTTCAGGAAATTCTGCTCCTCTATTTCCCACTAGCACAGTGATCTTTCCATCTGTAGCTAATAGAACGTTCATGTATGACATACATTGAATTTTGGTGGGCTTACTAAGCTCCTCAGTGATTCCAATGAGCACTCAGAGTGAGGAGTATGACTGTAACCCTCCAGAGGTTCATCTGAATTGGCTCCTTCTCCCTATTGGTCAGCCTTCCATGATCCCTGGTCCCTGTTGGGTGGACTTCTCCTCCTACTTCCTCCTCTAAGCTTCCAGGAAAGGTCTCATCTCAGGAGTGTGCTTAGTTCATCCCTACTTCTAATGCCAGTTAAAGTTTCTCCTGAGCCAGGCACTAGTGCCTCACACTTGTAACCCTAGCTATTCAGGAGGCTGAGATCTGAGGATTGTGGTTCAAAGCCAGCGGGGGCAGGAAAGCCCATGAGACACTCATTGCCAATAAACTGCCAGAAAGCCTGAAGCGGCACTGTGGCTCAAGTAATAGAACGCTAGCCTTGAGCTGAAGAGCTGATGGACAGCGCCCAGGCCCAGAGTTCACGCCCCACAACTGACAATAAAAAAAGTTTCTCCTGAACCTCTGACTCAGGAAGGCTCCTTGAGGCTTCATCTTAAGCCTATGGAGTTCTCCCTTCATTTGAATCTTTTACCTTCTTGAGTTTAAGGATATTTACTTTTTTTAAAAAGAAGTGGGGGGTAGTACCAGGATTTTTTTTACTTCTGAGCCTCACACTTGCTAGGCAGGTGTTCTACTGTTAAGCTGTGCTTTCAAGTCTTTTTCCACATTGGTTATTTTTGAGATAGGGTCTCACTTCCTGCCCAGGCACATGCCTGAATCGGGATCCTCCTGGGTTTTGCCTCCCACCGTAGTGAGGAAGTGATTCAGGTCAACTGTACATCCTGGCTATGTGAGAACTGTTGTGTGTGAGAGGGGCAATGTTAATCAGGAATAGGCCTCCTGGATCTTCTTCAAAAACTGCTAGTCCCAGAGATGTGTCTGCCCCCTCCCCCCCCCCCCCGAGTTGCTGTCCAAGGTGCTGAACTTGGTTTTATGAGCAAGAAAAGACAGGACTGGCATGTACTAATTCGACTGCCAACCAACATACCTCCACTTTCTTCTCCAAGATTTTTCTTTAACACTGTTTGATTATTCTTTTAACTTAGACCTTTTTAATTCTTATAGCTCAAATTCACACTCAATTAATTTGCAGTCACTAGCCTCTCTGTGTAGGCTGTACAACTGCATCCGCTGTCTTTTCTTCCCTAGGGACACCCCTGCAATAGGATTCTCTCACTGATGAACCAGACACTCTCTGAGGGTGAGATTTCAGCCTCTACACTCCCATCACAGATACTCTGAAGCTGGGAAACACGTTGGCTCTCTCTCACCATATTTAGAATTTCACCAAGGAACAGAGTAGGAGCCACAGGTTCCTTGTTATAAGAGCAAGGATAAAGAAAGAATAGATTGGGTGGGGAAGGAAGGCCTATTGGATGTGCTTACCTGGGTAGGGGTGGATGCCATTGGCAAACACAGCTTCCGCGGCAGGTTGCCCATTGGCCTGTGGGGGAAGGCCAGTGAAGCCGTTCACCCCAATGGGAGATGGGATGCTAGGCACAGCTGGTGCAGTGATGCCCGGAGGGGTGCTGCCACCTGGTTCCAGGGATGCAGACATATTGGGAAAAAGAAGAGGCAAACAGAACAAAGGTGAGGCAAGCTAACCCAGGGAGCTCTTCCTCTTTCCTGGCTTCTAGGGCCTGGAGATTGAATTGGAACTGACACATAGCTCAGTGTTATTGGTGAATCATACCTTGGTTTATCTTCTGATACAGACCAGCTTTATACACTCTAATGTTGCCATGAGAATATCTCTGACCACTGACCATTCACTTTTGACTCCAAAGCACACAGACTATTCTCAGTGCTCCTGACTTTAACAACACATGGCCCTCCATTTTCAGTGGCTTTGCTCACTCCTGAGAAGTTAGAATTGACTGGTTCTCATTTTACTCATGGGGAGCTGATATGTTTTCCTAAGAAGTTTTGTTGCTGAGATGGAGAAGGTCTTAACTCTGGTTCCCTTGTACTGAGAAAGTTATTATTCAATCAATCTTGGCCCTTTCTTATACACAAAGTAAACATTTAAACCTCCTACAGTAGAAGGTGTGCTTGTGGTCATGGTGTTAGGAATAAAGCTGGCATCACATGACAATAACGTGTGTCTTCTTATTCCAACTGGGTAGAAGATGTGAGAACCCAAGATATAAATTACATGAAGATTTCACTGAGATCCCAGAAGCTGGAAAGAGTCTTCCTCTTAATGTAAGAAGTACTTCATTCTCTCTCTCTGAAAATAAAAGATGTAAGGCTCAAAAGTATCCCTGAGGCTAGGGGCTATCCTTTAGGGACAAGGCAATATCAAGATGGGCTCAGTGATATCACAGTCTTTTATGACTTTCAGCTGGGAAAGGAGCAGCTCTTGGATGTCAGGATGTTGCTGTCATGGTCTGCCACCCAAGGACCCTTGATGAATTAGAGTGATATATTGACCCAGTCGGGGCGTTTAGACCAGAATTTTTCAATTTTGACACTAGATTTATTTGGGGCCAGTAGTTTTCTTGTTGTGGGGAACTACGCTGTATGATAGAGGATGGGTAACATTTCTGACCTCTACCACTTAGATTATAATACCATTCCCCTCTCCCAGTTGGGAAAACAGAAATGTCTCTGGACACTGTCAAATGTCCTAGGGGTAGAGCCCCAAATGACTATACTGGTTGAGGATCTTCTTTTGGAGAAGAGTCAAAAGCCACTTAAAATAAACATGCTTTGTGAGATGAGTGTTTCCAATTCCTGTCCTTTGATAACTCTGTGTTTCTTTCTAGCTGGTTGCATAATTGTCTTGCAAAGGGCCACTGCATCTTCAATGGCTTAAATAGGCAGAGCCACCCTTGACATCAAAGAGAAAGGTTTTCACTAAAATATTGGTTGCTTAATAGGGATCAATTTGAACTGTTTTCCAACTTGAATTCTCATCAATTCTAAATCCTATCATGGATTTCATGGGGGCCCCTACCCAATCTTCCCTTGAGTTTCCAAGCATTGAAACCTTTTCAGACAAATTGCCCAATACCATGTACTCTTGTTTGGGATGATCTACTAACTATGAAAAAGAAGCCTTAATCTGGGCCCAGCTAACTCTATCACTGGGCTGGAACCTGCTGGCTTACCTGAGGTTGGGGTCATGGGTGCGGCCGCCAGGCCATTCATGTTGAGGGCTGCCATCTGTTGCATCTGGGCAGCAGCGAAGGCAGCCATGGGATTCAGGTAGCCACCCTGTGCGACTGATGCCATGAGGGCTGCTTGCTGCTGCATCAGCTGGGGCAGAGGGAGTAGAAAAAATATCACATGCTTCCGGAAGGCCTCCCTCCCCACCAGTGGGCTCAGTTCCTGAGGTTAACTTCCCAGGTTCTGAGCCCCAGAGAGCTGGAACTGTCTCCTAGTCACCACCCCCAGACAGCCCTGATGCCTTCTTTGTTCCTGTCTTAGTCTGCACTGGCTATTAGAGATCACCTCCTTGGAAGATGCCTGTATTCAAAAGTCATAAGGTGAGGAAGTGGCGCTGTAGGTCAAAGTGGCAGCGTGCTAACCTTGAGCAAGGGACCACAGGGACAGAGCTCAGGCCCTCAGTTCAAGTCCTGTCACCTACCAAAAAAAATAGGGAAGGGACAGGTGCTGCCATGGCCAGTGCAGGCCAGGCATGGGTAAAGCCTGTTGTATGGGGGATATGATACTGTAAGTACTAGAGCTTGTTGGATGAGCCTCTATAGGCATAGCAGTTGTCCTAAATGGTCATAACTTGGAGTATGCTGGGTAGAAGAGACAGGAGAATCATGAACAGACCTCCAAGAATGTCATCATAAAGGTGAGAGGGGGCGGGACGGGCTGTTTGAAAGTGTCTAAAGCTAGACAATAGTGCAGAAATAAGATGAGCTTCTGTGGTTACAATCAGAACCTTAGTGGACCACAGCACCACCATACCGGGACTTTTGTTCTATGCCTGGAAGCAATTGATGGAGATGCTGTAGGAGTGGGTTCAATGTGGAAGAAATGGTGATGGATCAGTGGCCTGAGGGGATCACAGGTGACTGTAGAAGACTTCAGGGGAAATGTGGGTGTGAGGGCTTTGGGTAACTTCACAGGACCCCTTCCAGGAATGAACAAAAGCCCTGAGAACACCCTCTCTGAAAGGAATGGGAGGGAATTGTTAGGAGTCAGTGCTACCTAGGATTCAGCACTGACTTGGCTAAGGGGAAAGAGTGCTCAGGGTGACCCACCAGGAAGCTTCCTTTGAGCTCTTTCCAGAGCAGCAACCCACTTCCTCCTGTCATGCTACCCCGAGCTGCAGTGGCCTTCTCTTAACTCCTTCCTTCTGAGGCTACATGCCCTGAGTTTATGCCTGGCCCTCCTCACTCCCCAAGGCAGAGTAGAATTCCTCTGGGACTGATGGGTGAGTGAGTGAGCTCCAGAACCTCAGCCCATCCCTGCCCCCACTTACTGCCTGAGCATAGGCTCCATAGGCCCCGAAGGGGATGGCCATGGGGTTGAACATGCCCATCTGGCCAGCCATCTGTTGCATTCGTCGCATCGTGCGTTCCTTGTCAGTGTCGGCAAACTTGACCACCAGACTGGATGAGGCTCCCTGAAGCCAGGATGATATATCAGACCTACCTGCCCCAACATTCAGCCCTCAGCCCCAGCATCCCTTCCCCTGCCTGGTCCTGCTCATCTCTGTGAGGGGCAATCCCCTATCCCAGATAGGCACCAATGTTTGCCTAACTGAGGTTCAAGGTCCAAATCCTAGGGTGGACATTTCCCATCTGGGTGATCTTGGGCAATTCCTTAACATATCTCTGGGCCTTGATGTCCTTGTTTGAGAAACAGTGATAAGGACAATGCTTTCTTGTCTCTCAGGGATACAGTGATGGCAGCAGATTGCCCCCCCCCCCCCAACTCCCCGCCTCCCCTCCAGCAGTTGAGGCCTATGGGTGTGGACGTGTCCATTCACAGCTGTCCTGGTCCTGCCCTAAGGGACCCCTCACAGACCATACTCACAGGCATGGTCTGGCTGCCGTGTAGAGCGTTGATGGCAGCTTGTGCCTCAGCGTGGGAGGAGTATTTCACAAAGGCGCATCCTGAAGGGACAGGAAAAGCTGAGCCAAGGTCTGAAGGACCCCGGGGAGAGAAGAGGGCTGGTTGGTGGAGGGGGGGGGGGGGGGAGAAGGGAAGCCTGGCAAGGTGGGGCACACATCTCAGGAGAAAACAGAGAGTTGAAGGAGAAGAGGAAAGAGAGAGAAGAGAGGAAGGGAGGGAGAGGGAGGAGGAGAGAAGGAGAGAGGGAGAAGGAGAGGTGCTAGAAACAAAGCCCACAGAGCAGAAAGACCCATAATCGTCCTCTCCCAGACCACATGGACCTCCTAGGATCTTCCAAGCATCCTTCCCCGGCTCCGCCCCGTCGGGATGGGTGGTGGTCCCGTCCCCGCCCCTCCCCGCGCCCGCCCCGCCCGCGGCCCCGCCCACACACCCTTGCTGTTGCCATCCGGACCGCGCAGGATGGTGCACTCTTCAATGTTCCCAAAGGCCTCAAAGAGACGGCGCACGTCGTCCTCAGACTGCTGCTTGTTGAGCATACCCACGAAGAGTTTTCTATCTTCTAGAACAAATGTAGGAGATGCTTACCCGGGCCGGAGGCCGGGCAGCGCGGGGGCGGGCCCGGGGGGAAAAGAGGACGCGTCCGAAGGGGGAGGGCAACAGGGGGATTGGGGAGAGTTGGGGAGCAGGGGCAGTGCTCAGCCAGAGAGGGAGGGGCATGGGGGAGAGGATGGGCGTAGCTGAGCTGGGGAGGGCGCGGGGGAGGGGGATGAGGGAGATATTGGGGGGCACAGGTGAGAAAGGCAGGGTAGCAGAGTTGGGGCGCAGCCAAAGGAGCCGGTGAGGTCGTAGGGAAGCAGGGGGTGAATGGCAGCGACTAGGCAGAAGCGGTTCCACCCCAATGGGCAAGCCCCTGGTCTGGTCCTTGGCCTGGACTACGTAGGTCTCTGGGCCTGCCCTGCGTTTCCTTCTCCTTCCTTGTGAACGTTGTCTTATTCAGGTGCCAGAATTATTTGCACTAGATATTTCTGCCATGGACCTTTGCTTATGCTGTTCTCTTTGCTGGGAGATCACGGTGGATCCCAAGGCCCAGTCTTCCTCTTCCCATATTGCCTCCGCCCCCAAGGAGAGGCTTGTGGGGCCTCCCTTCCTTTATTCTCTGCCCAAATTTCAAAACGAGTTTGCCTGTGGAGTTGGGTTGTTTTTTTTTTTTTTTTTTTATAGTGAAGATACCGTACAGAGGGTTGCAATTACATGGGCAAGGTAATGAGTGCATTTCTTATCAAGGAGTTGGTTTATATCTAGCTCTCCTCCTCTCCTTCACCCACAGGTCACTTCCTGGGGAAAGAGACTAGGTCTTGGCTGCAGCAGCAATACCTGGTGCATAGTAGGCCCTCAGTGGCATTAGAGAATGAACAGAGAAGGAAGGGAGGGAGGGAGGGAGGAAGGAAGGAAGGGAGGGAGGGAGGTCCTATTCCATTCCTAGAGGCACACCTCCTTTCTGTCTCACTTCACCTTGTCTGCATGCCTAGACTTAAACTTGGTCTTTCCTTTTCTGTAAAATTCAGCCTGAGCACTTTGGGGAAGCCTATTAGGTAAGATGCCTCACAGCCTACTCCCCACCTCTCCCGCTCCCCTCCCTCAGGGCCGAATGTCCAGTGTTTAGTGTCTAGTATTTAGTTGGCCCCACAACATGGATCTACAGAAGCTTGTAAATGGTTACAGAAGGACCCCCGCCCCCCCCCCCCCCACATTCAATGTTCCTTCTCCACTGTGACTTCCAAGGCAAGGTCATAAAGGGGAGCAAGCCCAGGTTGGCTCTCTTTGAGGATATTTGCTCTGTGGAAGGCAACCACCATGCTGTGAAGGTCCCCAGTGAGCACCACACAGGGTCCATTGATGTCCCTAGTTGATAACCAGTATCAGATACCAAACCTGTGAGCAAATGAGTCCTCAGATATTCCATCTCCCAGCTTGTGAATCTTCCGCCTGAGGCCCAGACATCCTACAGCAGAAACAAGCTTTCCATGCTGTGCCCTGTGAATTCCTGTCTCTTGGAACCCATGGGCATGAGAAACATTTGTTTCACAACTTGGTTTTGGGCTAAATTGGTATGCAGCCACAGTAACTAGAACAGGGTCCCAGCGGTGGCAGTTCTCAGCAGGCACTTACTAGATGTTTGTGGACTAGTAAATGATTGACATACAGCCAAGTCTGCAAAAATGCAGACCCCTGAAACTGCAAACAGCCACATATTTGTGGTTTCCTCTAAATACAGGGCACTGAGGGAACCTGAGTCCCTCTGAACCTTCATTGCTGGGAGAGTTCACACAGAGCTGATGAGGGACTGATCCCCAGTTGGAAGCAAAGCAGAGCAAGTTTCCTGGCTCCACACTGCTTCCCAAGCCTTTCTGATCCTCCTCTGCAGAAGCCCTGCCCACTCCCCTGTGGGCATATTCAGCACTGAGCAAGTTCTTAACCATGAGGGATGCTGCATTCCCGCTCCTCCTATAACTGGAGGGCACAGTGTCAGTTCCTATTACCAGTTCTGGGTCAGCTTAGCTCTCCATTACAGCTGAGCTGCAGCCAAAGCTCGGGGTCCACTCTAGCCTGGTCTGTTCTATGTCATGGTACTATTTGGGGGGCATAGCTCACCCTATCACGAGGGCTACAGGACCCTCGGAGCTTACCAACTCCAAAGTCTGGGGTGGGAGCAACAAGGACTAGGACACCAAGAACAGGGTGGGAGGTGGAATGACAAGGGATGGGAGGAGGAGAAATTAGGAATAGAAAGAGGGAAGATAGCAAAAAAAAAAAAAAAAAAAGGGAAACCATCTAGAAAGAAAGCAGAGAGAAGTGAGATGGGCAAAGAAAGGGAACTAAATCAGAATTTCCAGAAAACCACACCTTACAAATCCCTAGCCCTCCAGCTTAAAAATTCTGTATCTTCCCTTAGAAAGAAAAAGGAAGGGAAGGGAAGACACCTCCTCCATGGATCCTGATTTAAATGCTAGGACACAGCTCCTTGCCTTCCCTCTCCTGACGTCTGAATGTATTCCTTTATTATCATGATGACAGCTTTCTGATTGCATTAAAATTCATCCACACATGCCTTCCTATCCTGCCTCTTCCCTTTTGCCAGTGGGATCATCCCTCCCCCCCCAACACACATAATTCCTTCTCTCTTCCTCTTGAGTCTTTTACTGCACACTTCTGAGGTGTAGCCTATGCCCTTTCTCTTGAGATCTTTCCAAATGTGCAGAGTACCAGGCTGCCCCTTCCTGCCCATACCAATTTTTCCAGAGGAATGGCAGTTAGCTCACATTTCTGGAAGATTATATGAAACCAAAGAAACCTAGATCCAGATTCACTTCCTCCAAGTATTGTGGGATGAATTCCACCCTACTCTAATTATTGTATCTAGCATCCTCAAACTTGTATTCTTTTTGTATTCTTTTCACTCTGGGAGTGCTATTCAGGCTAGTCTTTCAGCTAAAGAGCTAGCAGGATTCTGAGTGTAGAATGGAGTCCCTTCTGGGTAGGTCCAGTGCTTTGCACCCAGCTTCCTTGGCTCCCAACTGATCCATACCTCATTTCTCTAGGCCTGTAAAATGGGGAGAGGTAGACCATCCTTGAGGTGGTTACTAGGATTCCAGGAGATGTTGCAGGGATACTGCTTGGCAAGGAGTAATCATATCACTTGGATTTCTTTATGTGGGAAGAAGAAAGGAGGTGCTATACTCCCTTAGTTTTTCCTGCCCTGATTTGGCCAGAAAGGCTACTCCTGTAGTGAAGAGACAGATAATTGATTTTGAGAGGTCATCAGCTCCATGTGTTAGGATGGAACGGGGGGGGGGGGGAGGAGCATCTGCAATAATAGGCTGGACATCTTCCTAGTCTCCATCTCCTCTGTCCACATCCTTGATGGCCACTTTCCCCCCATGTTTCCAAGATCTTTTAGATCTGATACCAACTTAGTTAACTTTCAGAGAATGACCCTGTTCTCCCAGCCAGGGACCACTTGCCTCCAACACAGACACCTCCCCTAATTTTGGTAGAGTTCAAGCATTCCTAGCCACTGCCTGGTTGTCTAAACTAGGGTTTTTAGGTGATTGGAAGGCTGTGGTGCTCTTTCTCTCAACGGGAGCCCTCAGCTGTTGCCTCCCATGGTCAGGTGTGCAGGAATTGCTGCTCCCTCTGTAGAGGGTTCAGGTGGATATTACTGTGACTGGCCAAGGAAGGTGAGGTAAGGAAGAGCCAAAGGTGACCCTGAGTGAGAGGTTATTAGGCCCCTAAGGGGATCAGGGTGTGATAAACAAGCACAGAACAACATTGGGTGCCCAACATCCTCCTCTGATAGCCTAGCAGAGGTCATGGCACTGTGTTCACCAGAGCCCAGCTCAGGCAAGCCTGGTCAAGATGCATGAGCCATGATTCAGTCCTGGCATCTTTACACAGACTCCTCCTGGACAAGGGACAGAACAAAGGAAACATGGTTCTGCAGTCATCCAACAGCTGTTCACTGAGCATCTTCTCTGTGCCATTGACTGTTTTAAGCACTGGTTCAAACTCAGTGATAAAGAGGAAAAGCCGCTCACTAGAGCTGACATTCAGCTGGGGAGACAGGCCATCAATATTAAGCAAGTTCCAAGATGACAAGGACTAGTGGTTCTAAAAAGTGGTACTCTAAGATGAGGCCTTAGAGTATCAGAGCTGGCAGGTCTCAGGATAACACCAGGATCTCATGATTTCCTTCTGAAGAAGGTCCAGTGACATGGAAGCTCCAGGATACACAGTAAGAATCACGGCTGGGACTTGAACTAGCGCCAGCCTGTAGGATTTCAATGTCAGAGCCCCTACAGCTGATTTTTGTGCTTTTTATTTTTTACTCCAGTTTTGGGGCTTTAACTCAGGGCCTGGTGCTGTCTCAAAGCGTTTGTGCTCAAGTTGAACACTCTACCACTTGAGCCGCAGCCTCATTTCTGGCTTTTTGGTGTTTAATTAGAGGTAAGAGTCTCAGTGGACTTACTTGACTGGGCTGGCTGCAAACTAAAATCCTTAGATTTCAGCCTTCTGAATAGCTAGGATTACAGGCATGAGCTACTAGTACACCCAGATAACCTGTGCTTTTCAAGTGGAGTGTATGTCTGTAGATGTGTGGGAGCAGAAGAGGGGTAGGAATATGACCTTTCCATATGAACTAAACAACAAGGTAGGTGCCAGCCCCAGCTCTACTGCACCAGGGTGGGCAGGCTCCATGCTCACATGATCCACCTCCGCAAGGGAGTGGGCAGAAGTACTCAGTTTTGTGTTCAGTGAAAGGATTTACAGCCACCACAAGAGGTTCTGAGCCACAGCAGCTGAGATCTTCTCTGGTCATTCCTTGAGCAAGAATTTAGTGAGTTCTCATAGTGTACCTGGAACCTGATTACACAGAGTATTTGAGATGAGTCTTGAGGACCATTCTGTGCTTTCCTATTCACTAGGTTGGGAGATTGTACAAATGCTGAGACCCCTGGAAAATCCAGTCTTTGGACCATGAGTCACAGAGCCTCTGCC